CGAACCGAACACTGATTTTGGTAATAAAATTCAATGATTTGCAAGCGTTGCTCGTTAGTAAGTCTATTCATGATGAAATGTCAAAGCATACTGAGCATCTTTCTCTTTGACACCATGTCTGAAATCCCACGTGATCTGTCAAATACTAATGCATGAAAATCCTAACCTCAAAAAAATCACCCGTTACAATTTACTCTTCATAAATTTACACTTTTTAGTAGGCAATGCGTTTTTCCCTTGGAGGCATACAAATAAAATAATAAACAGAAAAGTNAGCCAAAATCGAGTTTTCTTTATAACTCTTTTTTATTTAGTGTGATACATGATTGAAAAATAATTTTGAGAACTTTATATCTTTTTCTGATCCTTTTACGTTAGAGTTTCTGCCCCATTCAATACAATTTACTCTTCATAAATTTACACTCTTTAGTAGGCAATGCGTTTTTCCCTTGGAGGCATACAAATAAAATAATAAACAGAAAAGCTACTGTGCCTTTAAATGCTTCTTTCAACCGGACTAAATGTTCATGTTGTTAGATAACTCATACGCAATGGCATGCGAAAAAATTAGGCAACAAGATAACCGGCCAATAATTATAATCAAGTGCATGCCTTTTGTCGCTGAGTTTTGAAATACAAGTTTAGTAATAATGCACTTCAATAAATCCAATAACAAAAGTCAACACCGATTCCAACTCCTGCTAGATTACTTGCCTGCACCTAAATTTGCACGTTTGCCATGGCGTATGAGTTATCCATCAACATAAACAGCATTTACTTCGACTGAAAGAGAAATTTCAAGTCACTGTAACTTTTCTATCTTTTGAAGGTATCTTCTGTCGAGAACTCTTCACTAACTTCAGTTTTAGCTTTTTAGATTATTGTGGTATTTTCCTGGCTTAGCTTGGTGGCATAAAGGAAGCAGTCGATTGGCTACTGAACTGTGTGATGCAGATAGGGGGAATAAATACATATATAGTACTCTGTTGGGCAAGTGGCAAATAAGCCTTTGGACTTTAGCACAGTACACTCAATTCACGTCAGAAAATTTTCTGATTAAGCATTTACGGATACTAGACCACAGAGAGTATTATTGCGAAAAGTTTCATGGCGGTTATTTTGGTTAAGATGGTATGCGCCCTTGGTATGTTGTCATCGAATTGTTGTGGTTATTGACAATCACAAGTACGTACCCAGAGATGGTCTAAGCGTCCAATGAGAGAGTGGGAGTATATTTTACCACATCTTAGATAGATGGTTCTTATGTCAGCTCAGCGAGTGCTGGCTCCCAAAGCCACATTTATTTTCGATTTTGGAATTCATGCAATATTTTCTTCGTTTTTTAGCGTCATTTTCGACTTACGCTTGAAAAGTTTGTTCTAAGCACGAAGCGCTTTGCAGCGACCGGAAATATCCTTTTTTTTATAATTTTCATTAATGTATCAACACTAGAGGTTTTTACGTGACAATTCTGGCAAGTGTTTTGTAAAAGCTTAAACAGACGGCAGCGTTGATCCGGATTAACTTGGACTTAATCCGGATCAACTGCAGTTAATTCCCGAGTTGATCCGGAGCAACGCTGCCGTTTGTTTATGCTTTAAGATAATTATTAATTAAATTTAAATTAATTTTGTTTATTCTGGCAACTTTCATAGTGAAAAGCTCCTTCGTCAGAAGGCACTTAAGCATTTTCGAAATGTACATATGCATATCGTTTTGTTTGCGCTGTCCCAACGGTTTTTTTTAATTATTTTTTTTCTATTCTTGATTTATTTTTTTTGATTTCTAGATTTTATTGTTTTAAGAAGAAAAAATATAGTTTCTTTGAAGTATTAAAAATATATTTAACGTAGTTTTTTTTTCTTTTTTTAGTAACATTTTCCCTTTCACTTTTAGATTTTATTGTCTTAAAAAATATTTTTTCATTTCCGTTTAGTTTTTAGAGACTTATTTTATATTTCTTCTTTTCCTAACTAAATTTTTAGATATTATTGTTTTAAAAAGATTTTTTTATTTCATTTAATTTTTAGGAACTTATTTACTTTTTTCCTTTTAAAGAAATTTTTTCCTTTTATAATTAAATTTTTTCAAATCCAATTTTTAGAGCTTATTGCTAAAAAAATAAAGATATTTTTTACTTTCATTTAATTTGTAGGAACTTATTTTTATTTCTTCTTTTATCAAATTTTCTTTAAGTTCAATTTTAAAATTTTATTGTTTTAGAAAGAAAGATAGTTTTTTTACTTTCATTTAATTTTCCTTTTTTATTTAACTTTGTATATTCTATTGTTTTAATTTTATGTTTTTTTTGATTTCATTTAATTTTTGGAAACTTATTTCACTAGCAGACCCTTCAATTTATCTTTCGAAAGACAGAAAAGAGCTTTCAAGATTGGTGCCAGAAATGAGAGTTGCCCGAATTTCTCTGTAAATCAAAGGATAATTTCGACTGCTGAGTGGAAGATCGACCTATCTCGGTAGCCAGTTCGAAAATGCCCTATCTCAAAAAACTTTTCAAAAACGTCCTATTTCAGAATTTGGGTGAATAACGCCCTATTTCAGAATACGTTTCAAAAACGCCCTATCTCAGCTGCCGATTCAAAAACGGCCTATACCAGCACATTTTCAATACATTTTGAAGTGGGATAGGGCATTTTTGAATCGTATTCTGAAATAGGGCGTTCTTCAACCAAATTCTGATATAGAGTGTTTTTCAATAAAATTCTGAAATAGGGCGTTCTTGAAAAGTTTTTTGAGATAGGGCGTTTTTGAACTGGCTGCCGAGATAGGTCGATCACTCAGCAGTCGATTTGCTAAAAATTTCAATAGTTGTACATATCTTGTTTCTTACGTCTTTAATTCAAATGCTACTTTCTCCCGCCTTCTTTGCCATGCACGCGTACACACACACACGCACACACAGAGCGCTGCCGTTGTCGCTGTAACAAATATATTTGACAACATTGAGGATGTTTCAATAAGGCGTATGGTTGTGCCAAAGGTGAAATCAGTATTCGAAAAAAATCTTGCCGATCCCAAAATTGTGCAAAACGTACTCATCTGCATAGAAAGGCTGATGGATAAATTGGAACGAGCTCAGGTGAATAACATTGCATTTACATAAATAGTAGTATTAAATATTTGCATAAAGCTGCCTGTCTGGTAAGTTTGTTGTGCATGTTATTATTCTTATGCAAATACTTGTGATTACGTGCATACATATATGTATGAGTCTTGTTGAGGCAACAATGCAGTAGCTGAAAAATTCACTTACAAGATGCTTACGTACTTATGTAAATGTATATTTATCTGTATTTTACTAACATCTTCCCCATACGTATTTTTCTTCAAAGAAAGTTGTAAAACATTTATTTATCTTAATACTGTTTATGTATTTATCATATGCTATATCGTTATTTCCAATATTGCTGCGAAGGTCATGGAAGAAGTGCTACAGCTGCTTGGCGATGTTCGCTTACCTGAACCAGATATTGTTATGCGTACTGTGCGTAAGTACTCAACTGAATTTTATTTCTATCGTATTACATATTTAATTTTTTTACGGACATTCCGTACAAAACGTGACTAAAATTGGTGATTTTCTGCGCGACGACCTTCTATTGGTCTTGAATTTCGCATATTGGCTAATCTATATGTCTACATATGTACATACATATACACATAAAATAAGCAGCTCCTGCTTTAAGTTTGCAATCGATAGACTCCACTTTACCACGCTTTTATCAACTTACTTTCTTGTTTGTCCAAACACCTTTGCTATAAACAAAAAAGTCTAGACATCAACATCATAACAAAGAACAACGAACACTGAAGGTAGATGTCTCCTCGCCAGAAGTAGTTAAACATTTAACAACCGCATTATTATTACTAAATAACTATAAAGTAAAAAAACTTTTTAATATGCCATGCTTCTATAAATGGACTAAAAAGTAGAAAATAATATTTTTCAGACCCATGAAATTTGTTTTGATAACTCTTGATTTTGAAATTTTAGCAAAAGTCATTATAAACAAATAACAAATTCTGCGGGACTGAGAAATATTATTTTCTACTTTTTAGTCCATTTATAGAAGCGTGGTATATTAAAAAGTTTTTTTTTTTTATTTCATTTATTTCTGTTTTCCAATTGCAGAAAGAATTTTAGTTTCAAAATCATTCAAAAACTTTACTTCTTGCTTGTAGATATTTATCACAAAATGGTTGTCGATAAATCATATGGACTGACTGTGGAGACAATGGCAATACATGTGCTTCCGCTATTAATACCGCATACCGTTAATCCTGGTTTAAATCTCGAGCAATATTTGATGCTTTCCGAGGTAATTGAGGCATATACATACATAACTAAGTATAGAACATTATTGAAATGTAAAACACAAACAACACATTTATTAATGCAAACTCAGTCTATCGTTTTTTGTTAACGCGACACATTCAATTTCATATGCATATACATCAGGGAGGCCAACTCGTGGGGAATTCCCCGATTTGCGGGGAATTACTGTTTGCGCGAGGAATCGGGGAATGGACCGTTTTTTTGTGGGGATTTGCCGTTTACATGGGGAAGGGGGGGATGAACTTATTTTTGTTAGGAATTAGGCGTAAAAAAATTTTATTTTTTGCTTCACTAATTTCGTAATGATTTAAAAAAATGTAAGTTGAAATGTCTCACTGGTCACCGTGGAATGAGTCGTATGCAGTTTTGTAGCTCGTTCAATTCTAGTATACTTTCAAAGTCTCAAATCGCTAAGAGTTATCGTTAATTTTGTAGAATTTTCCTTGTAGCAGTTGCTTTCATATATTTAATAACCACAATTTATTTTATATGGAAGAAATCCGCAACACCTTCGGCAAAAAAAATCTAAACAAAAATTTTTAGGTACTTGAAACTTGCAATTTTTCATACTTGAATTGAGTGGGCATACTCAAAATTTTTCTGGAAAATCTAATTAAACGGCTCGAAATGTTTACGAAAGGGGCTCGAGCACCCCCCTGCCCCTACTTGGCTACGCCCATGGTTACATACATATCTATTTTGTCTAATAACCAATATACATACATACATACATATGTATGCTTAAGGTTATATTTTTTGTCGATAAATATCGATAACAAATTCTATAAGAATATCGATAACAAAATCGATAAAAAAAATAGTTAAAAATATCGATTACAAAATCGATAAAAATATCGATAACAAAATCGATAAAAATATCGACTATTATATCGATAAGTTCCGAAAATATCGGTAGCGAAATTGATAACAATATCGATAAAAATTTCGATAGAAAATCGATGAAAATATCGATAACAAAACCCGTAAAAATTTCTATTATTTTATCGATAAGTCCCGAGAATCCCAAAAATCTCTAAAATCCCAAATTAATTCCCAGATTGAGCCTCTGTGTCTCTCTCTATATCCTTTCCTCTTTAATTACCTTTATGTTAATCTTTCTTCCCCTATCTTCATCTCTATTTTTATCGGTATCCTCATCCTACTATTTTCTTTTATGTTTATCATTTTCTTCATCTACATATTCCCCTTCACCTTTGCCCTTATATATATAAGTAAAGTGTTTAAGTTTTCCTTGGTCTTCATTTTTGCCTTTATCTTTACGCATCTTTGTTTTTGTTTTTAATTTTACCTTTCTTTGCCTTTATCCTTTTCTTTATCTATGTACCTTTACTTACATTATTGTATTGGTCTTTTTCTAAGTGTTATTCTTGAACCTTTTATTAGCAAATTTTTGTTAAATTAATAAGTACCATATGCATACACACAAGAAGCACTTGTTTCAGCCAAAACCATTTCCGTTGCACCATTTCCGTTGCATCATTTCCGTTGAATTTGCCAATTTACTCCCAACCAACCAACCGCCGCTAAAGAAGTTTCACTGCAAAAAAAAGGGAAAACTTGTCAAAATTTGGTGTTATTTGTTAACAAACCTAATAAAAGTTTGGTTTGGTTTATGAATACATAGATGAATTATGCATATTTAAAAACAAAATAAACAGAAATACCAGATATATCGAGAGATATCTATGGGTGGGGAATTTTACGAAATTTCGGGCAAAACCGGGGATTTACATTGTCGAAATCTGGGAATTCTCAAAAATGAGTTGGCTACCCTGATATACATTAATGTATACATTTGGGTGTTGCACAATTTTTTCTCTAGCCATCCACCATCACTGAAGAATATCGCAAAGAATTTTTGATTTTGAAATCGGTTAATATTTAACGGGCATAATTCTATTGTTGGAAGATTTCTGAAGGGAAATATTATTTTATTCGTACAAATTGCTGAATATATTTATTCGTTCAAGAAATATTTATTTTTAACAAATTTATAGCAACTTTAAGAAAATCTGTATTTTCCCATGTACATAAAATATATGGAAAATTTCAAAGCTGCGGCGACACGGCTAAATACACTGGTTTACAGCAAAAATGTTCAATGGATGCAACTATCCAACTCCCATATAGAATTCTTCTGTGATTCCGAAAATCGAGATCTGTTTTTTTTTGGATGGATAACTTTTCGAGATATGTATATGCAATTTACCGTTATTAAGCTTTAAAAAATAGTGGTCTCACATAATCACGTATGTCTTACGAACCAATTGAATAATCGTAATACGAGATACGGGAAATGAAGGCAAATAAAATTCTGCATAAACCGTGTATATATATTTTTTCGATAGCCCTGATAGTTTCTGAGAAATTAATTAATCGTTTCTGACACCTCTTGTTTTCGATGCAGACACTCTACCTACTCAGGTGTACGTGGCGTATGAGTAACACTCTTTTCTGCTGATATTTCATATAAAAAATCGATTTTCTTCAGTTCTTCTTAGTTCTTCTTCTTCTTAGTTTTTTTCTAATGGCAAAGGCTTTAACATAAGTGCAAAATATTTACACAGAAACTGTTAGTTTTTGACTTTTTTCCCTGCAAAAAATTGAATTTTTTCCATTTTACCATCAAAAAAACAAAAAGTCTGGAATGATTAATTTATTTCTCAGAAACTATCAGGGCTATCGAAAAGTAATCTATATACGGTTTATGGAGAATTTTGTTTTCTATCATTTGCCGTACCCCGTAGTACGATTATTTAATTGGTTCGTAAGATATACCTGACTAATTGGAACCACTATTTTTCGAAAACGTATCCATACAAAAAAAAATTAACTCGATTTTCGGAATAAGCGAGCGATTCTACATACAAGTTGGATAGTGGCGTCTGGAGAACAAAATCAAAATTAAAAGTTGTGATCCAGTGATATTAACCAAATTCCAAATAATAAAAAATACCGGTCTCCTTATTTTCCATTTTCAATAATCCTGAGGGGTAGCAGCAAAAAAATTGCAAAAAATTTATTTTCTTATGTTTTTTGGGCCATGCTAATAATGTACATGTATATGTGCATATGCTTAGCTTATAAACATGCATGTTAAAAAAAGCAATATTTTTTGGTTTTATTGAAACTCACTCAACGTTTCATTTTCCAACTGCAAACACCAAACTCAATGCTATGCTACTAACAGGTGGTGCAAGAGATGTTCGAACAAATTGACCGACAGCAACGTAATAAATTGAGGCTGGACAATCTGTCAATACCATCACCAGAACGTCATCGCCCATTGCGACATCAATTCTCATCGGATAACATGAATGCCCCACCATTCAACATTCCCAATTTACGTATCGATCAGCGGAAAACATCTAGTGCTGAGGATATGGCACGAAAGAATTCCGGAGGTATGTATAACCAGTACTCATTTTCACACGCATTTTTCTATGTATATACATACATACATACTCCCATATATAGTACATGCACATGCATTACTGCATAACCACACGCGTGTTGATAGCTTGTATGCAATTACTGATAGTTGCACCCAAAAAAAATCGTTGTTATAAATGATATACATACATACATATGTACATATTTTATAACATATTTCGATAACCTCCCCCCCCCCAGTTTGAAAGCTTACCTAAAGAATAGTTTGAGCCCCAAAAAACAACCAAAATCNAAACAACCAAAATCAAAAAATTTTATGGCTCAAATTAAAGGTGTAATATATCGCCGAAAAGATATTTTTGAGTACTAAACATTGGGCAAATATCAAAAGCTAACATTTTCGCCATGCAAGAAATGCTATGGACGGGGCAAGGCAACGTAAGCATCTACTATAGTTACCACGTAAAGGAGCCCAAATTCGGTGTTGGATTTGTTGTGGGAGAGGGACTCCGTCGCCGAATATTGTCGTTCACCCCGACGGACCAACGTCTAGCCACAATCCGCATCAAGCCGAGATTCTTCAACATCTCGCTCATCTGTGCCCATGCGCCGACGGAAGAAAAAGACGAGGCGTCCAAGGATCTCTTCTATGAGCGCTTGCAGCGTACCTATGAGGCTGCTCCCGACACGATATCGAAATCGTGCTTGGCGATTTAAATGCCAAGGTGGGCAAGGAAGGGATATTTGGCGTAATTGTCGGTAAATGTATTCTCCACGACGAAACGTCCGGCTTATCGACTTCGCCGTGGTCCGAAACACGCCATTATGTAGTAGTAGGTACTAGGCTGGGCATGCTTCCAGTATTTTAGACGTAGTACGTACACTCCGAGGACCAAATATCGACTCGGAGCACTATCTTGTGTGTGCGTCCAACAATGCATGGAAATTTTAACTTCGAAAAGCTACAGTCACAACAGACGGCCAGTGCATTCGCTTCTCGAGTCTGACTTCTGCTCTCAGATAGCACCCTTCAACAAACCGACATATGCGAGCAGTGGAATCGCATTTCCGGCTCGTTAAGTACCTCTGCCAAAGAAGTAGTTGGATTTCAGCAAACTCGAAAGAACAACTGGTACGCGCGGTTGCCACTTCCAATGTTATTTTGGTCCAAAAAATGGACCAAATGGTAAAAAATGGACCAGTTTCTATAAAATCGGAAAATTGAGTGGACTTATAACATTTATTTATTAGGATAAATTGAATATACATACATACATATTAATAAAGAAATAAAAAGCACTCTCTCAGGTACACACATGTACTCACAAGTTTTCAAAAATTCCCAAACTCATGAATTTGGCGTCAACAGTATTATCCAAAAGCATCTTAGATAGGATTGAAAAAATAGGAAGCCAAATAGCGAGAGAAGAAATGAATTCCGTTTGTAGGTTCCAATTTTGTATGCAAAAAATAAACGAAGTTTTAAAAAATATAAAATTATTCCAAATATCGTCTAAAGCAATAATAAAGCGATAAAAAACGACTCATTCAGGTAATAGGAAAATGACTCGCCCAGGCGAGGAGTTGCCTTCGGCGAACGTTTTAGAGCGACTGGTAATAAGAAATCGATACGATGGAGATATTAGCGGCAGTAAATTTGTTGCCTAGGGAAACACGTTTTCTTATTGCCGGCGACAAAAATTGTCTGGTGGGTAAATATATGAATTCATAGGAACATTTAAAATAGTGTTTTTCCGATTAAACATTTTTCAGGTTAAAATGACTTAAAAAAATAATAATAATTAAGTTCATACAAATAATAAAAAAAAAATCGTTTGCCGTCCAAATATAGTGAAGATCCTCTCCTTGGGAGCATATGTAATTCTTTGGCCAACATTATATTATTTAAAGTTTTAAATTCTAATTTGTTTCTTACTAAAAATGTTATGAACTAAATCACACAATTCTCCAAAGGCGGTTTCACCCAATCCATTTTTAATCAAACTGACTTGATCTCAAAAACAATATATATTGGTACAGTTTTTGAAGTTACCTTCACTCAGCCTCAATTTGCGAAATTGAAATCCAATTATGTCTGCATCATGTACCAATGTAGGAAATTAGTCGAGTAGTGGCAAAATTGATAGATCAGTATCAGAAAGAACTTTGTGTGATGTAATAATTTCTAGAATGAAATGGGATCTTATTTTCATTAGGCGTAATGTCGAATTTCCACTAGGCATTGAAATGACAAAAAATTAACGCCATTTAAAAAAATGCCATGTGGAAATGAACTTAATGAAAGATTTTTGAATGTAATGACACCATTATTTTTTACTGCCCGACTTTGTCATTTGTCATTTTTGCCATTTAATGCCTAGTGGAAATCCAGCATAAGAGTTCTGCATAAAAACTTCGTATAGCACATTTTATACGTCTCCGATCAACATCGGAGAAATTAGTATTTTGTAAATATTTTTCAGCCCGGGAGCCTATAAATATTTTGTTGATGGCCACAAATTTTTCTTCATTGTTAACAGTGTTGCCACAGACACATTTTTTTCTTACCAAAACTTTCTACCAAAACCTACCAAAAATTTTGTTGAGTCTGTGATATTTTTTTCAATTTAAAATTTATTAAAAATATAGGTAACTTAACATTTAGTTAAACTAAAACACAGCTGGTTAAATAAAAACAAAATTAACTACGTATAAAAATTCATTTTACTGTACAGACGTACGCGACCTAAGAAGATCTATTGTACTAAACCCTAATTGTAATCACTGCAACCTTAGGCTATTCAAAAATCTTTGCACTTTGGACGGCGCCATATTCCAAATTTTAGATGGAGAAGACAATCGTTCTCCAAGGTGTATCAGTCTACGATTCATGTTTCCCCTTCATGGGGCTCCCTCCACTAGCCCACAAAACCTTCAGTCCGTCTCTACAGAAAGCCCATTTGATTCAAATGGTACCTTAACTTGCTGTTGGCAGCAATCTGAGATTCTTCCCAGCTTCTAAGTATTTCTGCAGTGTATCCCTTATATGTGCCGCAGAATGGCTCGGGACCATGCAAGGGCATTTCGGCTCCACGCTTTGCGAGACAGTCAGCCCTTTCATTGCCTTCAAACCCTTTATGTCCCGGAACCCAGCACAGTGCTACGCTATTGTGGGCTCTCAGGTGGTTCAAGAGTCCACAAGCCTTGATGCCGTTTTAAAAGAGTCGAAGGCCTTTAACACTGCCTGACTATCCGACACAATATTTATTCTGGCCCCATTTGTCCTTCTACGAAGACATTTGCGAACACAGACTTCGATTGCAAATACCTCCCTCTGGAATATCGCTGGATACGAGCCCATTGGCAGACTTTTCTGGAATCTTGGACTAAGTACGTCTTAAAGTATATATGGATGTTCATTTTGTATATTGGTAATAATAAGGGTATACGTTTGTAAATACTTACGAATCAGGTATGTTTACATGTTTGCGGTCGCTACTAAATATACCAACGCACCGGTGAAATATTCGTGTAAATAAGGTTGCTAAAGTATTAGGATATACATATTTTCTATTTTTCGCAAGTACATAACTATTACTCATTGTCACGGAACCTACCAAAATCCAACCTAACCTACCAACCTACCAACCTACCAAATGGAAAAAAACCTACCAGTTTTGGTAGGAAAAGCTCATGTGTGGCAACACTGATTGTTAATATCAACATCATTTAAAGAAACGGCACTCTCAACATAATCACTTTGCATATAATTAATAACGATATGTGTAAAGTTAACTTCCAAAACTGGAAACTATGAAAGGCGCACAGTTTCCGATTCAAGTTCCTTATTAACTTCGTTAATTATTTTTAAGATATATGTTTATCTAATTTACCACTATTCCCGTTAATAAAAATATCACGCTTCAATTGGCTAGATTTACGCTTAAGATTTCTGCAATGCACTTGATTGGTAGCATGTCAAGATAAATGTGTTGAATGGTTATTTATACTTTTCCGCATGCTTGCAGCAACAGCGAATTATTCTAAACTGCTTGCTACGGCTGACTGTGTAAGCAAAAACAAATTGCGTTATAAGCTGAAGCAAATGATTTAATTTCTCTTCTTCGCTTTTGCTGATTTATTTGTGTTAGTCGTAGTTAAGCAACTGCGAATGCATTAAAAATAGTCAAGCAATTTCAAACCCTGATTGCCAGTATTCATCAACTAAATATAAAACATTAAAAACGCGAAACTATTGCATGAAATGAAAAGGTGATAAAAACCTAACAAAAGCATTGTGAAATGGACCACTTTAAAAGGCACTGGACCAATGGACCAAACGAAAAATGGACCGAATTTGCTCCATTTGGAAAATAGCTATATTTTGCTGATACACATTGGATTAAATTCTTAAGAAATATTAAAAGTTATATGCTACCATTTTACATTTTTTCCAGTTTAAGAAGCGTTCATGCAAGCTTTCTCAAAATATGTGAAATTGAAATTAGAATCAGTTTAAAACTTAAAATTCAATTTGGCTTTGAAGCCCACAGTGAGTCCCCCTTTAAGTTTATGCTTGGCACTGACATACATACTTTTGACTTAAATGATTCGTTCAAATTTTAAAGCAAAAGACTTTAGATTAAACGCCTCAAGCTTCCAAAAGTTGTTGAGTACCTATGCATTGTACACACACACAAACATACATACAAACATACATTGTATGCTTAGATTATCCACTACCAACTGACGAAGTTGAAAACTTGAATGTGACTTCAGTTGAGTTTTGTATAGTATGTACATTAGGGTCGTTCAAAAATGTATGTGAAAAAGAAATGTCTGAATTTTTAAGCTCTCACCCCCAGGAACTTTTCTTTTTTCTTTTATTTTGAAAACAAATAACATTTAGAGGTCGCTCAAAGCGTTCCACTTTTCGTAGAAATGATATAGAATTTTTGAAAATCAATATTTTTTTTATTAGAAAACTCTGCTTCCCTTCAGGAGGTTCCCA